CTCTCTCTCTCTCTCTCTCTCTCTCTCAGTCGACTCTCGCTCCGCCAGCCACCGAGTTGCCGCTCTTAACCTGAAATTTCATTGACACGCGGCGAGAGAAACGGCTTCTCTGTTCCACGCTGATTTTCTCGTATTTCTCCGAGTGACGATTTGCGAGAACACATCGAATAAGGTTGCTCACTCCTTTTGTTTTTTTTTTTTTTTTTTTCATTCTTTTTTAAGTTAAGTTTACGAACGTACACATTTTCCAAGGACACGTCACAAACGACTGTTTTATAAGTTAATTCGTTTAACTTCGAAATAATTGACTTACCAGACTTACGCTATTCTTGCTGTTAAAAATCACGTGGCAACCATGGCTAGTAACCATGAAAATATTTTTAAATTGGTCGAGTTTTGTTCGCGTGCCTGTCCCGAGCGAACAAAACCGTTTCCCTCCCCCATCCCCCCCCGAAATCTGATCAATATCGATAGAATCGGAACGTTTATAGATACCTGAACTTTTGAACTTGTGACCCGTTTCGCATTAACGCGCGCAGGTTTGTTTCTTAGAAAGTTGTCCACTCTTTTGACGTGGATCATTCGAATATTGATGAGTTTCGTGCACTGGAGCTTGAAGCTTGGAAATATAGCTTCCCCTCGTAGTGAGTTACACGCGGCTGGGAAAAGTTGTGAAAGATTCAGGAGCAACGTAGGGCTCGTGAATTCGGTATCTCCTCGGTGGCTAAATATCTTCTTGCACAGTCGATACGTCAGAGCAGTTAACTTTCTATCCAGAAGGTAAAAGATCAACTCACCTGTATCTGTGTCGTGGAAACCTGTTACAATATTAAATCTTTGTCTTGGAAGAAGGGAAATCGCAGATTGAACCGCACAGTGTGCGCAATTGACCTTATAATTCTGATGTACATACTGTACAAGCAAGCTCTCAACCCCTGTTTATATGTTTAACCACGGGTCTTTTAAATACTACGGCACTACGAGAATAATAGCCGTTTAGCGTATATACTATAATTAAACCACGCTTGCTATTATTACGCAGGTAATCGATTTATCGACTCGAAAGGATAATTTTAAATTGGGGAAAACGGAGACTTCAGGCTGCGATCTTGGCAGAATCCATTTATTCCACGAAGTAAGAGCGTGCAATCGAATATTTGCTGGAAATGTATGATTTTCATGAAACCTAAATGCTAAACGTTGCGCGACAATATTTCCTAAGTATCTTATTTCTTTCTCCTATATGTTTCGTCGTTTCCTTCGAGGCGAAACAATCGGGGTGTCGGCCTGGATTTTATATAGAAAAGAGACCGGGAAGTCTCGATCGTAGGTCAAAAGCCAGCGACGAGAAAATGTCCCCTATTTCTCTCGTTTGAATGCCATTGTCAGCATTCAGCGGTGACTTTGTCCGTCAAGGATATTGAACTTTCGACAATTCGAAACGTTGGTTCGAGTACACTCGTTCGTGCCACGAACTGAAAAACTTCCAAGAGGCCCTCGACGAGTTCTACAATCGCTAATACGAACGACAGGATTTTATATCCCGCGGCTCGCGAACGTGTTCCAATTTTTTCTCTTTCTTTCTTTCTTTCTTTCTTTTTTTTTTTTTTTTCCTTGCATCGATTTCGCACTGGCTTCTTGATAACGTCAGCTCCCATCATCGTTTCCAGCTCGGGAAACTTGACTGAAATTATTACGATCGTACAACATATAACGAAATACATACGTAATAAGTTGGCTAAAAAAGAAACAAGTGTCTCGAACACTTGCAAGACACCTTTTCATCGCAAAGAAAGACCGATGCTTCTTTGAAATTTTAATGACGTTGTTAGACAATACAACGCAATAACGATGACGATTAAACTGGTTTCATTAGGTCTAGAGAAGGAGGAGGAGGGGGAGAAGTAAATGCAAAACAGACGTTGAATATGTATGAGGTTTGTATATACACGGTCGTGTTCTTTAAACGTATGCAAAAATGAGTGTTCGCGGACATATCGCGCGCGTACTTCCCCCTCGTGTCGAATGTTCAAGTGCCAATACTTCGCACCGTTCTCAATGGCTTTGTGAAGTAATCGTGTCGGTGATAAACTAGAACGAAAATCCATTTTCTACAAAAAAAAAAAAAAAAAAAAGAGAAACACGCTTGTGACGTTTTTTCACTCATTTGCATTCATATGTGTATATAAACTAGGAATTGAAACATTTGCTAATAACAAATAACGAGGGGAATTTATTCGACGTACGTACCACGTATCAAAGGCACAAGGCCAAATATTCACAATAAAATTTAGGGGTGTATGAGGTCGCGACTCACCTCACACCTTGAGAATACTTTATTTATTTTTTATTACAATTTTTTACAATTACCCCAGTTACTCTTCACTCTCCTTTTTAAATTAAAATGTCACAAGTTTCAGTCAATACAAATTTGTATTGTATCTTATTCCTTTTGTTTCAGATAATTCATAATTTGTTAATTAATTAATTATAGATGCCTTTTTCTTTTATTCTCCGCCGTGGATTTAATCTTGCATTCTACTACATGGCCAAATTAAAAATATTGCCAAATTATTTCAATCTGTAAAATATAAAAATT